CGTTGCAAAAATTCTTAAATATAGTTAAATATATAATAAATATATCCACAAAGCCTGGAATTAATCGCACTTTAATAGCCCGCAAAAAAAAAGTTATAAAGATACATCTTTTTTTCCTGCCTACAAGGAAGAATGGCCCCCTTAAAGGGGCATAAAATGTTTAGAAATTAGTTCTCTCTCGTAGAAAATTCTGAACACTGATAGAAAAATGTGGGTAAAGTAGCGGTATAAGTTGCTGGCTGCAAAGACAATCCATTTCTAATAAATGTATCATAACCACTACTTACGTTGTTGAATCTTTTTCAAATTTTACTGGCATAATTCTAAGACTTCCATCTTCCTATTGACATCTACTTGTTTCAGCAAATTGCTTTAATGTACATTATTTCGGCCATTCAAGTTTGAATATGTAAGCGTTTGAATACTAACGTGAGCCACTGAACGTACGTCTCCTGATATACTCGATGGTGAACAATTATACCGATCTTGTAGAAACTATAGCGTTGCTAGGATGATAGTGTTTGGAATTCCAAACATTTTATATTGTAGGACGTGTCATGTATTTTCAATATTCCTTAAATTACTTGAATGTACATAATTTGGTCATCTGCCAACTGTACCTCTACTACCTAGATGACAATAGGAATTGCCGTACAATTAAGCCAGTGCATACTTAATTAGTTTCAATTGCTCCTTACGACTGCGGACGACTACCCCCGTACAAACCCTCAGTGGGTGGGATTTGTAGTTTCGGGAGAACTGGCCCACGAGGGATGGGCAAACTTCTGATTTGCAAATAGAATCCTCCTATTTTTGAACTCGGTATTTAATCGAGCACAGAACCGAACGAGCTCAATTACAAGTTACAATTTACACCAGTTACAGTTACAAAAGAAGAGTTACATCAGTTAAATCAGTTAGAATAGTTTCATCAATTAGAACAGTTACATCAGTTACAAGAGAATAGATCAAAGAGTACGAGTACGAACAGTATACAAGAGTGCAATAGAACACAATTTGAACCGATTAGATTTCAAGAACTTTATGAACCATTATATCATTGTTACATTATTTCGGCCATTCAAGTTTGCATATGCAAGCGTTCGAATACTTTCGTGTGCCACTGTATGTTTGTAAGATTTAACTGGGAATATTTTTAAATCGCCATGTTTTGTGTTAAGAAACGAGGATACAAGTTTTATTTAGAACTTATCGGTAAATTCCTTTCTTCTCGAAGAAGAAACATATAGAATTGTTATCTTGTTTAATTTGTTCCATTGTACACAGCAGCAGGTAAAGAAATCTAGAGAATGTTGTTTGATTCGATTGAATTGCATTTTATCTCTCGATGATAGCTTGTCTGAGACAAACGTTCCGGGATTATACACCTACAAGTCGCGATTTACAATTTTATATCGTATAGTGCCATAAATCAAATAAACCAATGAGATTTCAAACACATTTGAACTGTATATTTTTTAACACTTATCAACCGATTAGGGACTGATAACTTGTCGTAAAACGAGGTTATAAATAAATCCTTAAGGCAAAGATTTATTTTCAATGACTTGATAATAAATTGCTTGTCGTGTACTAATTAAAAAAATAAATAAATCAATTTAGATACCTATATATTTTAAACGTTTCCACTGTATTTTCTATACGTATATGTTTACTGAATATACAGGGTGGGGCATATTTTTCATTTGGGGAAGATATTCAAGGTGGACATAGTTATTGCCCCACTCTGTATAATAAGTAAGTATATATTTAGGGCAAGGTAAATATATGATAAGGAAAATTGAATAATAAAAACATTTAGTTAATCCTTGTAAAAAAGTCAAAACTAGAACTTATTGCCCTATCTTGAGAAAATGCCTCAGTTTTGGTCATAATTTAGTATGTCATTACTATTAAATGCCTGTTTAACCGTAAAATACTCTTGCAAATTATATAAATAAAATGTAGATGACGGGGGCTCTCACAGCCAAAACCAAATAATTAGTTTCGACGTGGTGTTAAATGAAATATTGATTTTGTCACAGTTTTTAGAGATTTTACTTTCAAAGTTCCACCATTTTATAATAAATAATTATTTTTAAAAATCCGTACGTGCAACTGAAGTTGCTGTCTTATACTTTATGAAAATTGCATGATTTCTTGTTTTACAACTTGCAGTAAAAAATTACATGTTCGCCCGTTTCTAAGAAATTTTTGGAGGCCTCTGGTTCCTATTATGGCTATAATAATTAATATTTTTATACGACATTTTTACAAGAACTAGTTCAAGAAATGTATTTTCGAAAGCATTTAACATTTATTAGAAAAAGTTTCATAGTTATGTCCAAAAAATTCTTGAAAATTGCCTTTATTTTCAGCCGCCACAGTGGTTTGTTTTTTTTTATTGTTCATGTCGCGAGTTCATTGACCTCCTTAGATTCAATAGTAACCTCAATACTTTCTAAGGTGGCAGACATTGCTTGCCTTGCACAAAACCCTTTATCCACTTTCCTTTCCTTTTCTTTTTATCAAAACGTTTCTCTGAAATCTAGTACAAATTTGAACAAATAGAAATCAAGGAAACGATAATAATTAATCGTAAATACATTTTTGTCGATTCTCCATTACTATGACGAAAGTAATTTACGTATGTTTTGCAGTATTATTACACTACTTCATTATATTGTTGTTTTACTAATACAGCAAATATTATATTATAGTATCTAAAGTGTTGAATTACTAATGAGTCCACTAACAGGCTCAGAACTCTTGCTATCTCGCATACTATCTGTTGGCAAAGTTCGTGGAGTCGATTTATGATGTAGCAAATGGATAATTATAATAACTATTTACAAATACTTTAATTTATTAGCAAAGATATAATGATACACGAGTTAACAGAAAAATGTAACAATGATGTAATGGTTCATAAAGATCTGGAAATCTAATCCGTTCAAATTGTGTTCTATTGCACTCTTGTATACTGTTCGTACAATCGATAAAATGCGATTCAATCGAATCAAACAACATTCTCTAGATTTCTTTACCTGCTGCTGTGTAAAATGGAACAAATTAAACAAGATAACAATTCTATATGTTTCTTCTTCGAGAAGAAAGGAATTTACCGATAACTTCTAAATAAAACTTGTATCCTCGTTTCTTAACACAAAACATGGCGATTTAAAAATATTCCCAGTTAAATCTTACAAACATGCAGTGGCACACGAAAGTATTCGAACGCTTGCATATGCAAACTTGAATGGCCGAAATAATGTAACAATGATATAATGGTTCATAAAGTTCTTGAAATCAAATCCGTTCAAATTGTGTTCTATTGCACTCTGGTATACTGTTCGTACTCGTACTCTTTGATCTATTCTCTTGTAGCTGGTGTAACTGTTCTAACTGATGAAACTATTCTAACTGATGTAACTGATGTAACTCTTCTTTTGTAACTGTAACTGGTGTAAATTGTAACTTGTAATTGAGCTCGTTCGGTTCTGTGCTCGATTAAATACCGAGTTCAAAAATAGGAGGATTCTATTTGCAAATCAGAAGTTTGTCCATCCCTCGTGGGCCAGTCCTCCCGAAACTACAAATCCCACCCACTGAGGGTTTGTACGGGGGTAGTTGTCCGCAGTCCTAAGGAGCAATTGAAACTAATTAAGTATGCACTGGATAATTGTACGGCAATTCCTATTGTCATCTAGGTAGTAGAGGTACAGTTGGCAGATGACGAAATTATGTATTATACATTCAAGTAATTTAAGGAATATTCAAAATACATGACACGTCCTACAATATAAAATGTTTGGAATTCCAAACACTATCATCCTAGCAACGCTATAGTTTCTACAAGATCGGTATAATTGTTCCCCATCGAGTATATCAGGAGACGTACGTTCAGTGGCTCACGAAAGTATTCGAACGCTTACATATGCAAACTTGAATGGCCGAAATAATGTACATTAAAGCAATTTGCTGAAACAAGTAGATGTCAATAGGAAGATGGAAGTCTTAGGATTATGCCAGTAAAATTTGAAAAGGATTCAACAACGTAAGTAGTAGTTATGATACATTTATTAGAAATGGAATGTCTTTGCAGCCAGCAATTTATACCGCTACTTTACCCACATTTTTCTATCAGTGTTCAGAATTTTCTACGAGAGAGAACTAATTTCTAAACATTTTATGCCCCTTTAAGGGGGCCATTCTTCCTTGTAGGCAGGGAAAAAAGATGTTTCTTTATAATTTTTTCTTGCGGGCTATTAAAGTGCGATTAATTCCAGGCTTTGTGGATATATTTATTATATATTTAACTATATTTACGAATTTTTGCAACGCTTAATATCCATTGATTACCCAGTTTTTGTTGATTACCGAACAACAGTTTTTACGTACACTGCGTAGGTAATATTTTGCGAACAATCCAAAAACCAGAGACATTCTTAACACGTTGACTGCCACACCAAAACCGTACAATTTTCTACGAGATCAAAGCTTCGATTTTAAATAATTGTAAACTGTATAACTTAAAATTTGTCTTTGGTACTTATTTTCGTAACTACGTTGAACTTCGTCCTATACAAATTTATTTAACATTTCAATTTTAATTTTAGGGTATAAATTGTTTTAGTCCCATAGTGAGAAAGTCTTGTCACCCATATATGGGTGACGTGGCAGCGAAAGTGTTAATATAGATAAGTTTCGTTATATCATGAACTAAGATCTTTTGAAATTGTTGAAAATCCTATAAATACAATACAAAGTTGAAACGACTAATGTAAAATAGGCGTTATTGTACCTGTGGATGTATAAAAGAATTCACAAAATTTTATGTTTATTTAATTTTGTAAATTCAAAGAATCTAGATACGTACAGTGGCTCACGAAAGTATTCGAACGCTTACATATGCAAAACTTGAATGGCCGAAATAATGTACGTTAAAGCAATTTGCTGAAACAAGTAGATGTCGATAGGAAGATGGAAGTCTTAAGATTATGCCAGTAAAATTTGAAAAGGATTCGACAACGTAAGTAGGAGTTATGATACATTTATTAGAAACACGCATGGTAAGTGACTCGCAAAAGTATTCGAACGCTACATGTATTATTCAATTATTTAATATTAATATTTTGTTGGACCATCTTTAGCAGTTATAATGTCTCTTAGCCGACGTTCCATACTATAAACCAATGAATTTGTAAAACTAAACTCAATGGAATTCCATATTTCTATAATTTTATTTTTCAGTGTTTGCTTTGGTGTTATTTCAAATTTATTTAATCTTTTTATGATTTCATAAATTTTCAATCGGATTTACGTCTGAACTTTTCGGTGGAGTAATTAACGTGTGTGGTGTGTTATATACGATCCATTCTTTTACAATTTTAGCAGTATGCATCATTATCTTGTTGGTAGTAGAAATCTTCCAATAATCCTAGTTTACTGGCACTTTCTTTAAGATTATTCTTTAAAATATTTAAATACTTATATTTATCAAGTAATCCGTCAATAAATATTAATTTTCCGGTGCCACCATACCATGACCGAACCACCTCCGTGTTTCATTGTTCGATGTAAATGTCGAATTTCCAATTCTGTATTTGGTTTTCTCCACACATAATTTTTACCATCTGAGCCAAAAATATTAAACTTTGACTCGTCCGAAAAGATGACTTTATCCCTAAAAGAATTATCTTTATTAATGTAGGTTTTCGCAAAAGTCAATCTTTTTTTACGATTTACTGCATTAATATATTCTTTCGCGGTATTCTGCCAATGAAAATCATTGTTTCGTAAGATTCGTCGACATAATTGAACTTCTTTATGAAACATATCAGTTACCATATTTGCGAGTCAAGGAGCGGATATAGTAGGATTCTTTTTTAATTCGCGAATGATAACTTTCTCCTCTCTTCCAGTCAATTTCTTTGGTCGACCTGATCGAGCTTCGTTTGCAAGTGTTCCCTCATTCTTTGACTTTTTTATGATGTAATGTATCGTAGACTTACTTCTGTTCACAATCCCGGAAATCTCGTTATACGATTTGCCATCCTCATGCAATCGTAATATTATTTCTCTTTCACACGTTTTGGTTTCAGACTTTTTGGTGTTCATTTTAAATACTATTGTGCACACTTTTACGTTACTGCTACTGAAACGATATCCTAACGTCAAGCGAACGTACCAATATTTTCATTTAGCAATGATGTTTACATTCGGTGCAAAGGAAGATGAAAAACTATCAACAGTGTTACAGAGTTCGAATACTTTTGTGAGCCGCTTACCATGCCTGTTTCTAATAAATGTATCATAACTTCTCTTTATGTTGTTGAATCCTTTTCAAATATTACTGTCATAATCTTGAGACTTCCATCTTCCTATCGACATCTACTTGTTTCAGCAAATTGCTTTAATGTACATTATTTCGGTTCAATCATTCAAGTTTACATATGTAAGCGTTCGAATACTTTCGTGAGCCACTGTACCTACCATCAAGTATGCTAGTTTTCAACTCTATAAATAAAGGTTCCAATTGCCTAAAAACAATGTGTTAAAAAAGAAAGTATCCATTTATTACTCGCTTTTAATTCCAATCAACCAATCTATAAATCTTACTAAAACTCTTGCGTTGAACGACGCTTTTAACCTTCAAATTCAAAAAGGAAAGAGACGAACTGTTAATTTTGTAAGAAAATTCTTGATTCGAAGAGGGTGAAATATTTAATTTTTACAAAAATTTCTAAACAAATTTAACAACGCCATGTTCTTGTTTTCTGTTTCAGAAAAATCGCTCTGGTCATCATCCTCACCAGAGCAGGTCTCGATTTGGACCCGAACGCCCTGAAGAGGTTGAAGGTCACTGTACCGAAACTCGGTTTAATTCCATGGGTCGTCGAGGCAGTTGTGGTGGCCATGCTGACAAAATATCTGCTTGGCTTGCCCTGGATATGGGGTTTTCTGCTCGGGAGTGTCGTAGCTGCTGTTTCACCAGCTGTCGTGGTGCCTTGTCTCTTCAGGCTACGTGGCAAGGGTTACGGAGTTGCCAAGGTAAGATTTAACGATCGTTCTAAACGTATGTAATTCAAATCCTAATATAAACGATTTTAATCGATGCACATGGCAATCTGTTTCGTTTCATATTTTTTAATAAGATCATTGTGCAGAGTGATGATCTAGTAACTGGCTATATGTATTTAAATTTACACGATTCAAAATACTCTATTTTTTAAATTGAAATTGTTCTTCCATTCATGAGTGACAAGAATATAACATACAAACTATTGGGTTGGCAAGAAAGTGATTTCAGGTTGCACCAGTAGATAGCGTTATGTTTGTTTCGTTATTCTTTCGTCAATGTTAGAATTTTTTTCTTTTGAGATTTGGTAGTCGATACCTTTAGGTTACTATAGAAACAAATTCCGTGTAATTTTGTTTACAACGTGGAGTGCAAAAATAAGCATTTTCGACACATTTTACTTCTTTATTTTCATAAAGGCAAGAAAGTGGCTGAGGCTCACAAAGAGATATATGAAGTTTATAGTGTTGATTGTTTAACAAAAACCACGTGTCAGAATTGGTTTAAAAAATTTCGTTCTGGAGATTTCTCACTGAAAGGTGACCAACGTTCTGGTCGACCTTCTGAAGAGTCGATGATGACAAAATGAGAGCCATAATTGAATCGAATAGTCATATAATTGCGCGAGAGATTGCAAAACAGTTAAATCTATCACACACGACAATTGAAAATCATATAAGACTTCTTGGACTTGTTAAGAAGCTCGATAATTTGGGTTCGTAGCCAAAATAGTCGACAATTGCTTTTCAGTATTTTTTCTTACTATTTTTCCACGAGATCTTCTTCGATTCTAAACACGTTTTCTTCCAAAATTGTCTCCTTCCTATTACATAGTTTGAGTTACTCATTTATTTTAATTTCACACATGCATTATAAAATTTACAGTAAAGTAGAAATCTAAAACGAATGAACGTAGCAAAGAAAGATAATAAGATTGCTTTGGAAAATCTGCGTCTAAGAAACGGAGATACTCGTCAACGAAGAGTGTCACTCGAGTCTCTAATAATTAATTCGAACGATCGATACTGTCGAGAACTAATTAACGAAGAGAAGCAAGTCTTTGGAAGAATCGCGACCGCATTGTTTGACGGAAACATAAGTCGCCCCACCCGACACAAGATTCCGCGTGTCCAATTAGATCCCTTTAAAACGCGGTACTTTTGCTCATCGGGGATGCATTCGTAAGTAATGTAACGAAGTTGAATCTGTTCGTCGCAGCGTGACACGCGGAACACCGTGTGCTAAACTTCCCGAAAGCGACTCCTCGACACTAATTAAGTTTCTTTTGAACACTGGTTTGCTCTGCCGGTGTAATTTCGCGTTTGCTCGGGGCGTAATTGCGCGCGGGAGGATGCAAGAAAAATTTGCAACAAGGTTAAAACAAAGCAAATTGCTTCTTTGTGAACGACATCGTGTTACGCAGCTTACCAGCGTATGCTATTAAGAAATTTTCTGGTAAAAGCGCTTCGAGCACTGCGTGTTTCCCCGTTTCGTTTCAAAAGACGTCGATAATTCTCATTCTCCTTCTACATTTACGTAGAAAAACATTGATTATTGCGTTTACTGTAGACAATTTACAAAGGAACAGCTTATAAACAGTCAACAGTAGGAGAAAATATATCATTTATTTTATCACTTTTTAAAATAATAATTAAACTAATGGTTCAATCGTTCACAATGTATTAGGTCGTCCCATAAGTTCGTGCCGTTCAATATTCTGAAATTGATGAGGATAAAATTTGTAATGTAATAAAAAACAAAGAAAATTTGTCAGTTTAGGTGATTTCTGAAATTTCAAACATAGTAACATCAACAATTCATAGAAATTTGAAAGAAATAGATATTGTGTCAAAGTTCGAAGTTTGGAATCCACACTAGCTTATGGAACAAAATTCTCTTAATCGTGGTAGAGCCTGATTGCGTAAATATTTCTGTTAGCATATGATAAAACCGAATCTTATAAGATATAAAATATAACAATCTCTAGGATTATTAGTGGATAAACAATTTGAAAATGTCAACGTTTTAATGAAAAGCGTTAAACTAAATTTGAATAAAATACTACCACCCTTAACCTAACCTCGACTCTTCCTACCAAGGTGACGAAAACTAACTGGTGGGAGGATTGGTCAAGCCAATCCTCAACGTCATCACCTTGGTAGGGCGTGAGGCGTCGCCTCCCATGCACGCCACCAGAGGGCTCGCGCTCTCACAAGCGCTCGACCGACTCCTCGGTTGCTATATATATTAGGTCGTCCCATAAGTTCGTGCCGTTCAATATTCTGAAATTGATGAGGATAAAATTTGTAATGTAATAAAAAACAAAGAAAATTTGTCAGTTTAGGTGATTTCTGAAATTTCAAACATAGTAACATCAACAATTCATAGAAATTTGAAAGAAATAGATATTGTGTCAAAGTTCGAAGTTTGGAATCCACACTAGCTTATGGAACAAAATTCTCTTAATCGTGGTAGAGCCTGATTGCGTAAATATTTCTGTTAGCATATGATAAAACCGAATCTTATAAGATATAAAATATAACAATCTCCAGGCTTATTAGTGGATGAACAATTTGAAAATGTCAACGTTTTAATGAAAAGCGTTAAACTAAATTTGAATAAAATATCCAGCAAGTTTTGGAGCGACGATACAATGGCTTTGCCAAAAGAAGGGGAAGGAGTTGTTGAACGAGAAGAGGTTTACTATTTTTCATAAAATTCCATCATATGTTTGTAAGGAAGGCATCCTTAGTCTGTTTGAATGTGGCGCGTGAGTAGTATGTCGCGATCTCCATACGTGGCGCTAGAGTGACGAGTCGAGGGAGATGTGCCACGAGGGTAAATGCGACATTTATTTGAAAGAGCGATTAGTGTACAAGAAGGGTGTGAATAAGAACATTGAATGTTGTTTCTTTGTTTTTACAGGCAGTATTGACTGTCAATTCATTAAGTAGTCATATTGCATTGCGTTGAATTTAATAAAAGTCTTTGTTTTTACAGAGAACACTTCTACTTATTTTACACCACCAACCTACCGATAAATAATACATTATAAAACAACATTCAATGTTCTTATTCACACCCTTCTTGTACACTAATCACTCTTTCAAATAAATGTCGCATTTACCCTCGTGGCACATCTCCCTCGACTCGTCACTCTAGCGCCACGTATGGAGATCGCGACATACTACTCACGCGCCACATTCAAACAGACTAAGGATGCCTTCCTTACATGTTTAAAATATTACTTCAAGTTGCAGTAGAAAATTCGGCACGAACATATGGGACGACCTAATACAAAGGAACAGCTTCTAAACAGTCTACACCTGGAGAAAATATATTATTTATTTTATCACTTTTTAAAATAATAATAAAACTAATGGTTCAACCATTGACAATGTACGAAGGAACAGCTTCTAAACAGTCTAGACTATGAAGAGATTATATCATTTATTTATTATTTTTTTAAATAATAATGAAACTAATGGTTCAATCGTTGATAATGTACGAAGGAATAGTTTCTAAACAATCCAGACCATGAAGAGAATATATCATTTGTTTTATTACTTTTTAAAATAATTAAAAAACTATGTACACAAAATATAAATTGAATGTTTGAAGAATATAAGCTAAATATTCAGGGGATGTAAACTAGATACTTAAAAAATAAAAAAGTAAATATTCAAACAATGTGAATCCAATATTTGAAAAAATATTTAAATAGCATTCGACAAAATCTTCAAAAAGAAACAGTTATACAAAAAATTAATCTCTATATATATATCAATTACTTTCTATGCATTGAATCATATTACGTAAGACGTAAGAGCTACACGATTATTTTCATACACAACTTTGTCGCATTAATGTTCTTATAATATAAATACATGTCGATTAAGTGACATACACGAATTCAAAGTAAAATAAAAGTAAACAATTTACTTTGGATCATATTCTGGAACAAATATTCATCCATGATAGACATAAAATATTTCCTGCATATTCAAAAGAAAATATTCTATTTATGATATTACATAAAGATTCATTTTATAACAAGAAAAAATATTTTTTTCATAATATGAAATATATATTATCTGAATATTTGGAAAATATATTCTATTTCTAATATGAAATAAAGATTCATTTTATAGCAAGAAAAAAAATATATTTTTCATAATTTGAAATATATATTATCTGTATATTAGGAAAAAATATTCTATTTCTAATATTACATAAAGATTCATTTAATAATAGAATTTCTAAATATTCGTAACTAAAATAGGCGTCGTTTCCATTTTGAAATATTAAAGTCGCCCAATCCGTTTAATTAGTAGTTATGACTTTTGAAACATAGGCATGAAAATTAAGGGAATTAGGCATGAAATTTCATTTATAGTCAGATATTGTATTTTCGGTAAAGAATTTTTTTCTGGAAAGTGCGTAGAAATTCGAAGATACGTCTATTCACCAAAAATTATTGTAAATAATTCCACTAGCTAAAAATAATTTTTTCAGAACAATTTGAAATTTTCTTTTTTGCCGAAAATTTTCAGCAGTCGATTTTTCTTAAAAATTCATTCTTAATTTTTAGTAATTTTGTTTGACGCCCTATAGAAAAGTTGTCTAACACTTTTTTGTAGATACTCATAAGCTCTAATTCAGAAAAAAGTTTCATTGAAATATATTCACTATTGTAGGAGTTATAGCTGTTTGAAAATTGGACCACTTTCATGGGGATTTTCCAACTTTACGTGTTAGGGAACAACGTTTCCAATATTCTTAGAATTTCTAAATATTCTTGACTAAAATACGCGTTGTTTCCATTTTGAAAAAATTAAATTCGTCCAATCCGTTTAGTTAGAAGTTATGACTTTTTAAACATAAAAAAAACGCACGAAAATAAGTGTCGAAACAAATTTTAGGTTATTTAGCTTACAATGGTCTAAAATCAAAATTTTACTTTTGCAGAATA